TAAAGTTGCAAGCGATGAGCCGGCATAAAATATTGTCCCGCTCTGCTGAGCACGCCAAGCTTTTTAGAGACCACGAATCTGCACGTCACTCGATATGTCGACGCCGAGGATTCCGATACTGGCTGAGGCAACAAAGGGAGTGCCTTGAAACTGAGGTTGTACAACGAAGGAGTTCCTTTTAGCGGTAAACGCGAAAACTTGTGTCTTCTGGCGATTAATCCCCAGAAGACACAAGTTTTCGCGTTTACTACCTTTACTGGACTAGATTTAGTCTTTGGAGATTTAGTTTAGTAGATGATTAAACTGGACTAGAGTTAGTAAGTGGATACTGTGGCCCATATAAACATCTACATTTATCTTCGATTAAGAATCGAAACTGAGATGCGTTGTCACCCCTCAGGAATAAGATGTAATGCCTCGTTTCCAGTAAAAAAGGGTCTCCGGATCTCTAAACTCACCGTACGAAACATAGCAGTATTAGGCTACTAGTTTACGCTGGTATTCTGTGAGAGCGTGGTACTGCCCCGGTTGGGCTGACCCATTCGTGCTGCATGCATAATATAGCTGCAGCGTGGCTCTACCACATATAAAACCCCGACATTAGGCTACAAATAAAAACACTAGTAAATTATTAAGCGAAAAACAACTATTATAAGTAAGACTGTTATTTCTACATATAAATAATAATGAAGTGTCTGTCTGTAATATTGAAACCTCATTATATTGGGCTGGGGGGGGGGATATTCTTTCGGGCTAATCTTCGAAATCGCTAAACCTTTTTAATGAAACTTCACATACTGATAACAAATGCAGTGGACCATGATTGAGGCTATTCTTTTCTTCGAAAAACTCAGAGTTCTTTTTTTGTAAAAAATAAATAAATAAATTGTCTTTGACTATATGCCGCAATTCTCCACTGGTGTTGCAGTTGTTTATGGGTGACGGTATTCGTTTACTATATAATCACCACAGCGGATCGCTAGTTAATAAATAGGAATCATTTTATACGTGGTAGAGCCATGCTGCAGTTATATTAGTAGTATAGTTGTAGCACGAATGGGTCGGCTCGGCCGGGGAAGGACCACGCTCTCACAGAATACCGGCGTCAAATAGTGGCTCGATGCTGCTGTGTTTCGTATGGTGAGTGTAGAGAACCGGAGACCCTATTCACTGGAAACGAGGCATTCCATCTTGGTCCTCACGGTTGACGATGCATCTGCATTTTGATTCGTAAACGAGGATAGATGTAGATGTCTATGGGCCACAGCAACCACTTACCATCAGGTGGACTGTGTGCTCGTTTGTCACTCTATCCTATAAAAAACATTACAACGCATAATATTTTCTACATAGAAAATGGAAACGGAACAAGCTCAGATAGACCGGCTGATCGTTTGCGACCAACTGATAAAAGTTGACCTAATGGATCATTTCAAAAGAAAAACCTTCTTCCGAATGCTTTTAAATATATTAAGGTATGTAAAATAGTAAGTAATAATGTCCTCCAGACCGGATTTCGGTCACGGCGGCCAGTCTAAACGGATACTAGCTATCGACGCAGGACAGGTTTATAGTGCCCAAGTGTATGCGCAAGCACAGGTGCACTCTCTATTCCCTCACTCTCGTAACACTCAGGTTGAGATTTTTAAATTATAATTTTATTGTAATTAAAATTATGAATTAATTTATATTGTAGTGTAATTATTAAAATAATAATAGCTTAACTAATCTCATATAATATTTAATATTATTTATGTAACAATAATGTAATAATTCCATTAATAATTTATGAACAATTAACTGTATAAGAATTCAAATAGAGTGGATCTGTATAAGTATTTAATTGTACATAACATTTGAATTAAAAAAGAATGTTTGTACTTACCTAACTTTAAGCAATGCAATAATTTTGAAACGTAACATTGGGTTTGTGTAATTAGCTGTATTTCATATCATTTTTGCATGCCAATTATGGCAAAACATGTCAGTTCCACGTCATTGATCATCTTATATGTACCATGTTTTTAAGCACTTAAATTTTCTATCTATCTTCTTTTGAACTTGATATCTTTTTAAATTATTAACATAATTTTGTATTGCAAGAAGACACAGCGCGGACGCTGTAATTATTTCGACGTCTGCCATAGTCGAAAGCCGAAACCCGAAACACGAAAGTGATGTGAGTGGAAGGGCAAAGTGTAAATACACACTTCCCGCGATCCTGCTACGGCAGTATTTAGCGAAGTATTGCCGGCAGCGCGAGGAGCAGTGGCAGGGGCTGAATGTAAATGAGGCTTTAAAGTCCGCCCTTTGTATTCTTTTGTTTTAAGGAATGTAATAAACACATCATCTGTGTGCATGCTGTTTGTAAAAGCTTATGTTTTGTTGGTCAAAATACGTTCGGGTTAATCGTGGATCTACATATAGGGAGCCCAGTTGTATCTTATATAAGGGATCACAAAATAAAAATAAACCATCATAATCTTATATCATATTTGTAATAAAGATAATAAAACGGATTGGAATATTAAAATACACTGTTTAACAGAATTCATGATTTGATATTTAATCTAAATGTACTTATTTTTAATGATTTAACATATCTTAGAAAAAAATTTCGTATCCGTTCCCGACAAAACTTGAGGTAGTTGTATATTTTCTCGCCTGCTTTCCGGTGCCTAAATAGTGCACGTTTGAACACGGCGACGATACCACTGCCGCTCACGACAAGTAAGTGAATTTTCAAATACTGAACTATCTCATTTTAGGAACCTTTCTCATATTAGGCACCCTTACTCCTTTTTTTTAGAATAAGGACCAAACACTTCAACTTTTATCCTAAAATAAGAATCAAAATGCGTTATCACCCCTGAGGACTAAGGTGGAATGTATCTCTCGTATTCATCCTCGTATTCATTGTAAGGGTCTCCGGTTCTCATACTCACCATATGAAACGCAGCAGCATTAAGCTGCTATTTTACGATGGTATTCGGACAGTATGGTCCATAATATAGCTGCAGCATTGTTTGAACACGTACAGAATACTATTCCAGTTTCCAGACTAGATTCTGTAATATATATCACATTTTTATATACTATGCCAGTTTTCAGGACAGTCTCCAGCTGCTTTCCTTAGAGAACCTCCGCTGCTCGCGGCTCGAGGGCGTGCGGTTGATTCAGCAACTTGCCTGCTTCAACGCTCACTCACTCAAGTACTTGTTCCTCTGGCAGTTCGTTCGGTCCGATGAGAACCCTATCCTTGTGAACTACAGTTACATCACGGGTGAGTTGTAGAACTATCATAGATATAAAAATGTTTTATTGAGATTGTATTAGACGCTCTCATTTAGTAGGAACCAGGCAGTATTTTTATATAATAAGTGTGAAAAATGAACACATAATTCACCCGATGGTAAGCGGAAGCTGTGGCCCATAGATATCTACATGTATCCTCGAATAAGAACCAAAATGCAGATCCTTCCTTGGTAGAGCCGGTCGTGCTACTAGCGTAATATAGCTACAGTATGAGTCTACCATGTCTAAATTCATCACTCGATTTTATCCTCTGGATGTCGTAAGAGGTGACTATATGAAAGGCCAGAAAGATATAAGGCTTCCGATAAATACCGTAAAATACCCACTTCTTTCAAATTTGAATGATACTGCCCTTGAAAATGTAGCTTAGTGAATAGAAAAATTAAAATAGATACTCAACGAAAAAAAATCGTGTGATAAAGTTCCTAAAGTTACTGTATCCGGGATTTGTCTTGGTGATAAGAGGGCTTTGTTTCTTTAACGCTCATACGCTAAGTTTAGTTACGTTGTTACGTGGTAGAGCCATTTTGCAGTTATATTAGTGGTATAGTTGTAGCATGAATGTTGGACCACGCTCTCACATAATTCCAGCGTAAAATAGCAGCAAAACGCTGCTGTGTTTCGTATGGTGAGTGTAGATAACCGGAGACCCGTTTTACTGGAAAAGGAGCATTCCATCTTGGTTCTCTCGGATGACAACGCATCTGCATTTTGATTCGTAATCGAGGATAGATGTAGGTGTCTATGTGCGACAGCAACTACTTACCATCAGGTGGACTGTGTGCTCGTTTGTCACCCTTATCCTATAAAAAAAAGGTTCAGCCATTCAGCGACGAAACGCAGCCACGTCCTTGTCACTATACCGCATGGAGCAGAATTGTGTGATAATCTAAGTCGCTACTTTTAGTTTTATTTATTAAAGTCATAAATATTGTATATTTTATTGTTATTTAAATAAAAATTTGGTCATATTGCGGACTGTCTTCTTTTATTATCGGCTAGAGAACAAAATGTTTCATCAAAATGAAAGTCTTCAACCGTCCGCGGCCAGACGGCGCTCGAAATCGCATGCGACGAGAACGCTTGTTCTTCTTTAGTTTATCCTATTCTATTTATGTAATAATAATATTAGAAGAGACACCGTGACTTGGTGGTTTGCACCATGCGTTAGAGTTCGCGGGCTTAAACTTACTTAGTATGTGCCTTAAGCACCATTCTGTGCCGTGTTCCGCCGCGCCGCAAAGATTTCGATCGCGGTGTCCGTTCTAGTTCGTAGTACACATTACTTCAATGAAAAAATATTACAGAAATAAATTTTTAGTTTATTAAAATTTATCTCCGTATAATATTATATCCGGGATGTGTCCACTGGCGCTAATAATGATCGTAACTTGATCTTGTATCTCATTGATTCAAATTGGTTCGGGGTTGGGGTGAATAATAATGAATAATAAATAATTATTATTAATAACCAATAAAAGTAATTTTTATTAATAATGGATGATTATTGCTTTAAAACCAGTTTAAAAAAACGGCGTTTGAATCTAAAGCCGAATCCTATTCAAAAACAATTTTGAAAGTTAGCCTTTTACCCACGGTTTTAGTACATTATATATGTGCTCGGCTGTCACAACTATTTCCATAGCAACCGCTGTCATAGTAACACTTGTAAACGCCAAACTGCAATGACGGCAAACGAAGAGAAATCCAGATTGTTGAAAATATTACAAGACCTCGAAGTCCCCGAGGACAGGCTACCAGAACGTTGTCAGGGACTGTTGAAAGAATTCTATCAAAAATTTGCGCAAGAATTAGAGGAAAATGTAGAGGATGTAGGAGATGTGTATTACGAAAATCCGTACATTCCAGATAAGGAGTCCCTTAAAGAAAATGAACGAAAGCTTCGTGAACTGTTATCGGAAGAAAAACGGTTTGTTTGTCTTTGTTTTAATCTTGATATTTGGCAAATTTGTAGTATATAAAAGCCATCAACTTAAATTTCGTAGTTTGCAAGAGTAGTGGCGCAATTCTTCTAACATCGCTAATACTCCTTTTTCTTGTGTATGTGGTTCACAACAGTAGTCAAATAGCAATTAATCAAGGATAAATGTAGGTGGACTGTGTCCATGTTTGTCAACCCAATTCTAAAAAAAAATAAAAATAAAGGGTTGCCATAAGATTTTACTGACGTTTCCCATACTCACCTCTTACAGCACCCACGGAATGAACTGTAATGATTCCTTTGCGCCGATACCATATGGCGATTGTAATAGTTCAAACATATAAGTACCTATTTACAAATATTACAAAATTTTGACAAAAACGCTATCTACTGGATCCAATTGTTAATCTAAACCCTCTAGAAACCTATTTAAACACACACTAAAAATTTCATCATAATTGTTAAAGCCGTTTTTGAGTTTTAGCGAGATTTTTATAAATAGAGACAATCGTCATTGAATCGACGACAAACCGTGTGTGTGGTGGTGGTGCAAGAATATCCACTACCTCATATCATCTCGTGTGTATCATGAAAGGTGTCAGAGGAAAACTAAAACAGAAGATGCAGCAGCTTCCTCGACTGGTGAACCTTTCCTAGAGTAAGAAGATATTATCCGAATCATAAATAGTGTTACGAGCTTAGGGTTCGTGACAGCAAAAACTGCCGATGGAATTACCAAATTTGACACTTTAATTACCGAACTTTTGTATTATTAACTTTAATTACCAAAATTGACACTTTAATTACCGAACTTTTGTATTATTAACTTTAATTACCAAAATTGACACTTTAATTACCGAACTTTTGTATTATTAACCTTAATTACAAAAATTGACACTTTAATTAAAACTAATACACACTAATAATTAATCACACTTAACACTTTAAGTTCACTTTATTTCGCTCCTAAGTCTTCATTTGTATCGCCAATTCAATACTGCCCCGGTCGCGGCCCTTAACGGCTTTACCACCGATACATCTAGAATGTTCCATCAAACACCGGTCTCGACCTACTAGATGTAGAGAATTTGAGTGTGGAGTTTTCTAGAAAGCTTAGTTCTTCTATTCGATATTAGATGGCGCTAGTGGGAGAGTTCTAGAAAGATCTTGACGCTCCTATTTCTGCTGCTTGATACCAGATGACGCCAATATTCACCCGCCATATACCGGGCATTAATTATAGCGCGCAACAATAGTAACCAATACTTACAACGTTTCAGAACTAAACAGGAATGCATCGAAGAGAACACTGCAGATGTTAAGAGACCCTGGCGCATTAACTCAAGCAAAGAAAAGCTGCTGCGTATCGACGGTGATTTAAAAAGACATTTGGAACGAGGTGCAGACTTGATCGAACCTTTGACTGATACCGACATGCAAGAGCTGGTTAAGACCTGTCTAGAGACAAATGCAAAGTCGGGCCCGATCAATGCAGATCTGCTTCGCGAAACGATAGATGACGCTCGGATGAATCTACCGAACTTTCAATACCGGAAAGTGGACAACAAGACTGCTACTGCAATCCTACTGGGTGCACATGTGGCAAAGGACAACGTAACTGGAAAAGATGACGGAAAAAACAGACTTAATTGATACTGAATAAACATTTTCACGTTATGAGAAATTTCAATACATTTTTTAATTAATTAATCCTAGCTATATCGATTTATTGCCCCCGAAACTCCCTGGACATTAAACTTTTGAAAATCGTTGGAGCCGTTTCCGAGATTCCGATAAATATATATATATATATATATATCAGATTACCTTAATCGACGAGCATGTATGTATGTGTAGATAGATATATGTTACATGTAAAGGAGGCGAGAAAGGTGTGTCAGGATCGTGCCAAATGGAAAGCCGTAGCCTCTGCATACCCCTCTGGGTGACAGGCGTGAGTGTTTTATGATTACGATTCATGATGATTTTATATACATCTTTTATCATCATAATCATCATCATCAATATCGTTGTCATAACAGCTCATCACAAGTCCACTGCTGAACATAGGCCTCCCCCGAGGAATGCCACAAAGCATGGTCCTGAGCCACCTGCGTCCATCGATTTCAGGCATTTCTCACCAGGTCGTCAATCCATCGGAATCACATTTTGCATATGGCAACGAATCTGAAAGAGACGACAGAAGTATTAGAATATAACAAACTAATTAGATAATTAAATAAAATTTACATACTTTGTGATATTTCAATAAATTTTTAATAAATAACTTTGTAATTTTACTTACTTCTTTTATACTATTATATTATACAGTAGTAATGACATCGATCGAATTGAAGTATTGGAAGGAGGAATATAACTTAATAGTCTTAACATACCCATATATACTGGATGATCTTTTTTATCGCCTGAAAAAAAAAACAGTATAACATGTGAACGGAGTAGAAGACTATGGCACTGATATTTAACAAAATATAAAAACAAAATTTTGAATTAAATTAATAAATTAAAATTCTATCTAAATTCAATTCATATGCACCCTACTTTACGAAAGGCAATAGAACAATAAATTTACTAGGACATTTTTGACCTTGTCACTTCGCAGGGTATCAGGTTCAAATGCAAAGGGCAATAATATTCGAAAACAAATTTCAAACATTTAACTTAAAAAAAATTTTTATTTTTTATAAAATATCAGTGCTATAGGCTTCTACTTCGTTCACATATTACACCCTATTCTTTTCCAAACGGTAAAAAAGTCATCCAATATATACTAAGTTAACACAACCCTATACGGTATACTATTACGGTGATACTTCATTTTATGACTAGGAGTCCGTGAGGATAGGTGCCACATTCTTACTTGTACCTGCAGCAAGAAAGCTGTGCGAGAAAGAAAACTTCTCTTAAATCGCGCAGTGGTGGACCGCCAGTCATCCAGATGGTATGGATGGATCCGTGAGTTTTGTTGCGATGTGCGATGGTGAAATTGTCCGGCTGGAATTAGTCCGAACAATTCTTCAGATCACTCGCCGTGGTAGATGCGATAAAATACGCAAAGAGATGCAACGCAACATCTCTTCGCAATGCCAGTGAATCAAGCCGATCGGAAAGAGCTTGGACGACGACGATTCGAACATCTCTACACTAGATGCGATCAAATGGAAGAATCTGGCACTGGGGAGCCCCAGCCCAGAGATGGGAACAACCCACCCCCCCCACCGACCCTCAGGTCATACGGGCCGAATCTCGGGAGATGCGCGCGCTACTTGCACCTTGCTCTTTCCCACTCGCACTTTCTTGACTCCCTACAAATATTTATTCTATTCTTCGTCCCAATTTAACGTCATTCTCCCCCTTCTGGGGCTGACGGCACAATAACGCCTACGTCGTCGGGCCTTACTACCAGCATTCTATCTTGCCTTATCCTGCGATCGTGCCACTTATGCGCAAACTCGCGCAACAGTCCGTAGTTCACCCCATCGCTGACGAGATCCAAATAGTAAATCGGTCCCTGAACCGTTCGAACTAGTCCATCCATCATTTTCGTTCTCAGGTCGTCATATAGAGGACATTCCCATAGAACATGGTGAACATCCTCTTCTGACACACCACACTCACACATACTAGTATCACACACTCGCATGTCGCACAATCTCTTCCGAAAACATCCATGTCCGGTGAGAATCTGGGATGTTTGATAGTCCAGTGAGACCCAGATATTTGATAGTCACCTGAGCCTCAACGCCACCTCCGGGAAAAATCGATATAGTTCGCGTCCTTTTGTATCATTCATCCATCGTTCCTGCCAGGCACCTATCACCTCAGTCCAGATTTCGCGCTTTCGTCTGCTTAACTCCTCTTTGGGCGCAGTCAGACGTGCCATACCCATCCTACCAGTACGAATGATCTCCAGGTCAGCTGGGAGAACTCCAGCCAGCACCGGTAAGGCTGCCGTGCTAGTGGATCGGTACGCCTTGGTCAGCAATACAAGGGCGGATCGTTGCGATCTCAGTAGTACGCTACAGACTGTATACATGTTCGCTCGCTCGTACCTCGCATGTTGCACAAATGATAGTCCTGAGTCCAAAACCACGCCTAGTATCTTAGTGGTAGTCACAGTCTTGATAGATTCCCCACCAAGTTTAATAACGGATGGGGGGGTGAAGTTTCCCTCTAACAGTCATGGTGGTTGACTTTGATGAGGAAAACTTCAGTCGATTCCTCAGTTCCCACTCCCGTACAAGGTCCAGAGTGACCCTGGCCTAGATTCGATATCCGCTCTCGTATCCGATTCAATCAAGATTGTGACATCATCAGCATAGGCAGTCATGACAACTCCCTCACGCAGAGGGAGTCGGAGCAAATCGTCCATCAACAAGTTCCACAGTGTTGGGCCCAGCACAGAGCCTTGAGGACATCCCATGGTCGAGGTCTTCCACTCTACCCGGTCCCCGATGTAGAGGCCCACACGCCTAGAGATGAAGTAGTCCACCAACATTTTATAAATGTTAGGTGGACATCCACCCCTCTTAGCTTTGACCATCATCATCGGCCACCAGGCATTGTCAAAGGCACCGGAGATGTCCAAGAAGATAGCTTGTACGTAGTATGCCTGAGAATACTTCGCCGTGCTTCGCTCAGCAATACACGTAGCGCTGTTACCGTAGACCGCCCCGGAGAAAATCCGTGCTGGTGCTCCAATATCCCACGACTAATTGCGGGAGCACATCTCAGAATGACGCGTTCTAATAACTTTCCCAAAACAGGCAGGAGCGTTATTAGACGGTACGCCTTGGCGTCGGTGAGCGGCTTGTCATTACCCTTAGGAATGACAATCAGTCTTCCGTCCTTCCATACTTTGGGGAAAACCCCCTCTACCACACACTTAGCATACACCGAGTGAAATTCCCTCGGTGCTGCCATCCAGACATTCTTCACAATTCTCGCACTAACACCATCGAGTCCCGGAGCCGTGTTAGGCAAGGCCTTGACTATGCCTTCCAGGTTCTCAGCCGCAAGTGGAGACGCAGCTTCACCAGATGGAATAAAAGCCGCTAGCAGGCGAACCTGACTGTGGTATGGTGAGTCGCAGTCGGTGCTGTCATCTGGACAAAGCGCAGACATTAATCTGCGCATTGCGGAAACCAGACTGTCCTGGTGCCCACCCGCAAAGGCGATCCCGTTGATCACAGATCCAGAGATGGGAACAGTATTCCATGTGCGGCCGAAACTGCACCTTGTAAAGTTGCAGGCGGTGAACCGGCATGAAATGCTGTCCTACTCTGCTGAGCACGCCAAGCTTTTTAGAGGTCAATTTTGCCTTCTCTTCCACGTGACCACGAAACTGTACGTCACTCAATATGTCGACGCTGAGGATTCCGATACTGGCTGATGCAACAAGGGGAGTTCCTTGAAACTGAGGAAATACGACGAAGGGGTAGCTTTTAGCGGTAAACGTGCAAACTTGTATCTTCTGGGGATTAAAATGGACTAGATTTAGTCATCCCCAGTCCGATACTTTTTTCATCAAAGTCTCGACTTCAGGCAAAGTCATAAACAAATCTACCCGCATGATCGGTTAAACGAGAACCAAGCCATTCAGCCTGGTGGGCGTTAAAATCACCATGCATCATGATCTCTGCGGATGGGACCTGTTGTAGCACGAAGTCTGCAGCCATCTGGACGTGGTCGATCAGTCGGTCTGTGTCGGTATTACCGCTATGGGACCTGTAGAGGCACGCGTAGACATGGGGAAGGTCGTCACTGTTTACGCGCAGCCATAAGATGGACAGGTCCGTACCTTCAAGACTGCCGAGGCGTCAAAAACAGATGTCCTCTCTAACGTCCACGCAAACTCCAGCCCGGGGCACAATTCCTTTGTTCTAATTTGTACCCCGGCTAGGAGAGATACAGAGTATTAGCCGGAAAGTACACTTGTGTCTCGGTTAGAAAGATCAAGGCCGGATTCACCGTTTCCAGATGGTAGTGGACAACGTTAAGGTTTGAATGAAGTCCCCTGATCATGCAGAAATTCACGGATAGAGTGGTAGGCGGCGTCTTTAACTTATTGCTCCATTTGCCCATAGCAGGCTTAGTCTCGAGCGGAATTTCGCTAGAATGAGAAGCAGCTTGAGCACCCACGCTCAGGAATTGTAGGGTAGCTTGGGTGTGGATGCTCAGCGAGGGATTCTCATTCCGACGATGCTGGTACCCTCCTGTGGTAGTGTTATAATTTACTCCGCTACCATGTAAAGGGGGGGGGGAATAGGGCCTTGATTTTTGGGAATTTCTTTTTTGGATGTTTTAGGAATTGATTTTAAATTGATAAAAAAGAAAACGTCATCAAAAACAAAAAATCACTAGTTTAATACATTTTGAACTCTTTGTTTTATGAAATTTAAAACAAAAGCTTCTTTCAACCCTGGATTCATTACTGTTACAGCCTATAAAAGTTCACTACTGAACTAAAGTTTACTTACCAGTGTTGAAACAGCTAGAATAGTTTACTTTAGTTATTTCCATAGCATTATGTCGTATGGTATTTTGCTATGGGGACACGCGACTGACACTGAAATTATATTTACTCGTATTTTACAGAAGAGGGTCATTAGAGCAATATATAATTTAAAACC